GCCAGAGGGTGCTCTTCTAGAGGAGTCTTGTTTGATTTCTAGCAAACGTGAATGCTAGCAACTGCCTATAACTCCAGTTCCAGGATATCTGAAACATGGTTCTGGCCTCTGGAGGCATTGTACTAATTTGGTGTACAAACATTTATGAAAGTAAACACCAAAATTGTTAAAGTAAAAATAAGTACACCTTAAGTATTTAAAAATTGTAGGGTCCTATAATTTGATCAGTCTGATACTGAGAACAGAGTATTCTCAGAAATTAGAGTCCATTTTCTTTTCACAGAAAGCAAGTCTTTCTAAGGACATTGTCTTCACTTATGGTGTTAACTCTCATATCATAGGCATGGTATGAAGATTTCTCCATTAACTGTTTTCTTTTTATTTTCTCTCCTTGCTAGAAAGGAAAGTATAATAGTTACTTTTCTATTGTTTTGATATGACACCATAAACAGGCAGTTTATAAAAGAAATAATTTATTTTAGGGTCTGGCATTTCCATTATTAACATTGTAGTAAGCATGGCACCATGAAGAAAGGCATGAGTTGGAACAATACCTAATAGCTTTCATCTTTATCTGTCAGATGCAGAGTAAGTTAGAGAGATGATTGGGAATGGCTTAAGCTTTTGATATCTCAAACCTCACCCATAGTAACATACCTCCTCCAATAAGTATACAATAATTAATCTTTCCTAAAGAGTTCCCAAAACTGGTGAGCAAGCATTCAAATATGTGAACTTATGGGGAACACTGTCATTCAAAGCCCCATAGCAAGTTTCAGGCCCAAAATTAAAAAAAAAAAATAGGGAAGGACCGAGTTAGAATGGGGCAGGTATGTCTAAAAATTGCTAAACAGCTATGAGCCCCACTGGCCATACATTACATACATATTAGTTTCCAAACAAAATATGCATAGCAAGTTTCAAGTTCCAAATTTCTTGAAATAAATAAATAACCCCTATAGGGAAGGAATGAGTCAGAGAGAGGTAGGTATATGTAGGGAGAGGTTAGAACCCTTGGATTCCACTGAGCATGAGTTAAAATTCATTCCTTTCCAAACAAAACATTTATCAACTAGAGTTATAATTTCCTAAAACTTCATTGACACCACTCTCTAAACAGAGAAAGCAGTTCATTCCAATCATGGCTTTGCATGAGTCTGTAGCATGGTACATTTAGAACAAAGCATGACTAGTTAACAAATGTTGCCTACAACATTTTATGGAAAACCTTTTATTTACTATCCTATACATAACTTGGCATACAGTGCCTATTATTACAATCAGGTTTATCAGGGGAAAAGGCTATGTGCTCTGATCAAAGCCTATCAATCAAAATAGACATTCATATGCATCATAGTTTTCAGAAACCAATACCAGTTTCTTCTGCATAAATTGTCTATTGAGTTGATTTCATATAGGGACTTTGACCTATTTTAATGTTTCTGTCCCATATTTCACGTTGATCCTGAGTAAAAGTCTTTCCTTCTGTACTATATGCATGCTTCTTCCCTTTTTTGAATAAGACACCAAGAACCTAAGAAGCATAAGTATAAAGAAATCACAGACAAAATGAGTGGTGTGATCAGTCAGAATATGTAAACAAGGGTCAAATCAAAACAGTATTTGCTGCTGCTTGAATTTTGAAATGAACAAGAACTCTCTTTGAGCTTAGGAAGAATTCAAAGAGGTGGTAATTTACCAATGACGTGATACAATTATATTAAGTCTGTGAGATATAGGAAAAAGTTAGCATGGATCAGCAAACTACATCTTTTCAATCCAGATTTTTTTCTTCCTCCAAGTTTCCAAACTGTGGAGAATTTCCTTGGGATGAGTGTCTGTAACTATAAAGTCCAAATTTTTCTTTCTATAAAAAGTAAAACAAACTATCTTTTTTCATGTTCCAGTTCCTGCTCCCTTCCCTCCTCCTCACATCCCCTCCATCTAACCCCCTAAACCGACCCCAATCCTCTGATCAGAGAGGGTAAGGCACACTGCTTTGGGGAAGGGCCAAGGCCCTCCCTACTATAGGCTGAGCAAGGTAACTATCCAAAGAGAATGGGTTCCAAAAACCAGTACAAGCAGTAGGGATGAATCCTTGTGCCATTGCCCGTGGCCCCACAGTCTGTCCCAGCCATAAAACTGCCATCCACATTTAGAGGGCCCAATTTGGTCCTATGCTGGTTTCTTCCCTGTCCAGCTGAATTTGGAGAGCTCCCATTAGCTCAGGTAAACTGTTTCAGTAGGTGCTCCCATCATGATCTAGACCTCTTTGTTCATATTCTATCTCTTCTCACTCTTCAGCAGGACATTGGGAGATCAGCCCAGTGCTTTGTTGTGTGTTTCTGCTTCTGTTTCCACCAGTTGTTTGATGAAGGTTTTATGGTGACATTTAAGATATTGATCAATCTGACTGTAGTTCAAGGCCAGTTCCATTACCCTCGTGTCTATTGCTAAAGGTCTTAGCTGGCATCATCTTTGTGGATTCCTGGGAGTTTCTCTAGTGCCAGGTTTCTTGATAGCGCCATAAGGACTCCCTAAATCAAAAATATCTCTTTCCTTGCTCTCCCTATCTGTCCTTTTTCTATCTCGACTATCCCATTCCTTCAAGTTCTCCTCCTGCCTCTCCTTCACTCCTACTCTTCCAATTCAGTTCTCCTTTTTCTCCTCCCCACCACCATGCTCACTATTCTGTCCGGAGATTTTGTCTACATACCCTTCCAAAATGAATCTATATATGTACTTTAGTGTTCACTTTGTTACTTAGCTTCTCTATGGTCATGGACTATAACTAGAGGCTTATTATCTTTTGCTTTACAGCTAGTATCTACTTATGAGTGGGTACATACCGTGTTCCTCTTTCTGGATCTAGGTTGCCTCACTAAGTAGGTTTTTTCTAGTTCTATCTATTTGTATGCAATTTTCAAGATGTCATTTTTTTCTGCTGATTAGTACTCTAGTTTGTAAATATACCAAATTTTCTTTATCCATTCTTCAGTTGAGGGGCATATAGATTGTTTCTAGGTTCTGGCTACTGCAAATAATTCTGCTATTAACATAGTTGAACAAATGCCTTGTAGTATGATTAAGTATCCTTTGCGTATATGCCCAAAAGTGGTATTGTTGATACCACTCTTGAGTTAGGTTGATGGTTGATTCCCAATTTTCTGAGAAACTGCCATACTGATTTCTAGAGTGGTTGTATAAGTATAGATTCCTGTCACCAATGGAGGAATATTTTTCATACTCCACCTCTTCTCCAGCATAAGCTATCATTGGTGTTTTGATCTTAGTCATTCTGATTGGTGTAAGATTGTAATTCAGAGTCATTTTGATTTTTAGTTTCCTTGATGGATAAGGATATTTAACATTACCCTAAGTGTCTTTCATCCATTTGAGATTCTTCTGTTGACAATTCTGTATTTAGTTATGTGCCCCATTTTTTAATTGAATTATTTGGAATTTTAATGTCTACTTTTTTGAGTTTTAAAAAAATCTTTTGGAGTCAGCCCTCTGTCTGATGTGGGCTTGGTAAAGACTTTTCCAACACAGTAGGCTGCCTTTTTGTCTTATTGACTGTGTCCTTTGCTTTATAGAAGCTTCTTAAGGGAGCAGGTCTGCTTTTCGTCCCAACTGGCTCCCGCATGGCTATCTTATGCCCAAAATAGCTACATGGAACCTGTATTCTTTTAAACACTGCCTGGCCCGTTAGTTCTAGCCTCTTATTGGATAATTCTCACATCTTGATTAACCCATTTCTAATAATCTGTGTAGCACCACAAGGTGGTGGCTTACCAGGAATGATTCAGCATGTCTGACCTGGAAGCTGGCTCCATGGCGTTTGCCTGCCTCTGCTTTCTTTCTTCCAGGATTCTGTTCTGTCTATTCCACCTATCTAAATCCTGCCCTATCAAAAAGCCAAGGCAGTTTCTTTATTAACCAATGAGAGTAACACATAAACAGATGACCCTCCTCCATCACCCCACGTATTGATTATTACTCTTATTATCTGTGATACTAGTGTTATATTAGGAAGTGGTCTCATATGCCTATGGATTGAAGGCTACTTCCCACTTTCTCTTCAAGTCCAGCATGGTTGAATTTATATTGAAGTCTTTAATCTATTTGTACTTGGGTTTTATGCACAGCGATAGATATAGATGTTGACATCTAGTTATGCAATCACCATTTGTTGAAGATGCTTTCTTTTTTCCTATTATATACTTTTAGCTTCTTTGTCAAAAATTAGAAGTTCATAAGTGTGTGGATTAATATCTGGGTCTTCAATTTGATTCCATTAGTCAACCAGTCTTTTTTTTTTTTTTTTTTTTNTTTTTTTTGCCAATACCAAGCTGTTTGCATTACCATTGTTCTATAGTAGAGTTTCATGTCAAGAATTGTTATACCTCTGGAAGTTCCTTTATTGTACAAGATTGTTTAGGCTATCCTAGGTTTTTTGTTTTTCTATATAAAGTTGAGTATTGTTCTTTTATGGTCTGGGAAGAATTGTGTTGGGATTTTGATTGGTATTGCATTAAATCTATAGATTGCTTTTGGCAGTATTGCCATTTTTATTGTGTTCATTCCATCTACTCAAGAGCATAGGGTATCCTTCAATTTTCTGGTATCTTTTTCAATTTCTTTACTCGGGAAATCTTGTCTTTTTCTATTTCCAATGTATTTTAGTTCCATATATTTGTCTCTTAGCGTCTTCTTTGTTGTCTATGTTCTCTGGGATTGTAAAATGTAGGCTGATTTTTGTTTGTTTTATGTTTAAAAGCCACTTATGAATGAGTATATATAATATTTGTCTTTATGGCTCTGGGTCAGAACCTATAATTCTAATAAAAATTCTATATATGATTCAGCTCTTAGTGATCTCTCTAGACTTTTCTATTTTGTTTTATAACTCAACATATCAATCTTAAACACATGAGAATTTCTTTAAAAATGTGCAGTTGGGACTAAAGAGGAAGAAAGACATTTGGAGAAAGGACACACTATAGGCAGCTGTACCACAATGCCACTGTCACTTTCTCAGTCTGATTGTTTTTGCAAAAATATATTAGCAGATGGAAACAATAAGAGAGCCAGCTGGTGACTCTGCTACATCCTTTGGGCATTTGTGTCATGGCTTGGATCACTGTGGGAGGAGTATCAAAATACTGTTGACAGTAATAAGTAGCAATATCTTCAGGCTGCAGGCTGCTAATGGTGAGAGTAAAATCGGCTCCATATCCACTGCCACTGAACCTTGAAGGAACCCCAGATTCCAAATTGGCTGCTTGGTAAATGAGTAGTTTAGGAGAGCTGCCTTGTTTCTGCTGATACCAGGCTAAACCATTACCAATGCTTGTACTTGCCCTGCAAGTTATGCTGACTCTGTCTCCTAGAGATGCGGACAAGGATGGAGACTGGGTCATCTGGATGTCACATATTATGCCTGTGATTGGAAACAGACAACCAATATTTTTGGTTAGTCATGATAGAAATGACTTCTGTGATGTTCCAGTTGCACTGATTACAAAGAGACAAACAAATTATCATAGTTTTCATTCCTTACCTGGGATCCAGAACAGCAGCAACACCAAAAGCTGAGAGGGAGCCTTCATGTCTGTGCTGTGACGTATTACTGACTGAATCTTAGACAGTGTGATCAGGCTATTAAGGACATGTGAGTGAACACATGCAAATCACCAGGGCCTGGGCAGAGCTGGGCACAGATGCGGGGTTGCTTTATCTTAGTAACTCAGCTGGTTGACCTGCAGGTGTTCCAAACTTGACCAGAACGTTTCAGATTTTACTGAACACTGTTTTTGCTAATGTTATAGTTTATTACAAATAGTATTTTGATAATTTTTTCAGCAGGCCAAAGGATATAAACACAAGTGTAAAGTCCTTTATTTCTTTATTCACATCACTTTTATACACAATTGTTCCATTTGAATTTATGTGCTTCCTCCTGCTTGCTGCTTCCATATTCCTGCTTGGTGGGATTGTTATGTTAAAGGATACCACTGTATGTATCTAATATAGTGTGATTATTTCATGAGAAATCTCCTCTTTGTGCAATTTACTGGCAGAACATCATGAAGATGATTGCTATAAGAGCCACAATGCTTGTTTCAATCTAGGTTTTGATTAAACTTTCTGAGTCATCCTAAAAGATAAAGGTTATTAGGACAGTTAGTGAAGATGATTAAGTAAATGTTTTAGATTTATCTGACAATTTCTCCAATAAGAGAACTTACACAGCCAGGTCCTCTAGGAATATACACAGGAATCTAACCACTCAATGATTTCAGCAGTTCATCTGTTCTCATTTTTAACATTATTTTCTATTCTGGAAGTTCAAGTGCACATTCTAGTTAAAGGAAGGAGATGTGGTGGGGAACAGAGCTATCTGACAAGATCTTTTACTGACAAGTCCTTAGAAGAGTTTCTAATAAGATTTTCTGACTGCTCAATATGTATTTGTTCATTATAGTGTCTGCGTCAGCTCAGCCCAGGGCAAACTGCATCCAACACCATCTTCATAACTATACAATTCTAGAATTATCTGCATGGTACAAAGAGTAAAAGCAAAATTACATTCCACAGGGAGGAAGTCTAAGGCCGACATACAGATTTGATGTGAGATGTCAGGGGATAACTTGAGAGAGCATGTTAGTTTTGAAGAAGCATTGCCCTAAAGAAACTTGCCATCTACAGTCAGATGTAGGATGAGAGGCAGTGAAACTAAGACTTATCTCCAGGGTGGGCACAGAGCTGGCTAAGACAAATCACTGTCTAAAAGAGAAGAAATAGCCCTGGAGTGCACATGCTCCTTTCAAGTTAGCAATTGCTAGGTTATTTTGGGCATTGTAACATGAAATAGAAACAAAGAAATCATAAAACAAAAGCCAATCCAAATTTTAAAAACCAGAACTTCCCTTTCCTACCTATATCTCTCCCTAGAGCACCAATGAACTAAAAAGTAATTAAATCACCAAAGCAGATTAGAAACTCTGAAAAATGTGAGGTGCAACTGAAACATCTGACTAATTCAGTGAAGTAAAAAAGAACCTGGGCATGGTAACAGACTTGTATAGTGAGTGCCTGAACAGGCCCTAGCAGAGAGAACTTATGGGGAGTCTGTGTGACAATCACAGCACACTGACATGTGGGGTACAGAACATTGTCAGGAATCCCAAATATTTGGTACTAGATCCTAGCCAATGTAACAAAAATATTTAGTGGCAACAGAAAAGGGTATGCATTCCAGGCAAAGAATAGCAAGGACAGATATGGTGAAGCTAGCAAGTGATAAAGGTGGTCCTTTCTTAGAGAATTTACAATATATTTTGATTTATGGCTACATAATCAAATCTAATTGGCAAGTACTAGTCATGGGGGAGCTATAAAACAAAGTCTTTCAACAGAAACACAGTTTCTTTACCTCTGCCAATGCCCTGTGCCACTTGATCATGTGGCCCTCTGTTCTTTCAATTCTTATTTGCAATTCTTCAACAACTAAAGTAGATATAAATGGGTAAAAGCTCCCAGAGTGAGGAAGTGTTTTCTATATAAAGACTTTAGCCACAAGGTAGTGCCATTATAGGAAGCCAAGTTCAGCAAGAGCATGGTCCTGGCCTCAGATAATCTCAGTCGCCTTTTCCTCTACGATGACATTATGCCTGCGTTCAGACTCAAATCATCAGGCTTGAACAGCAGAAATATTTACCTGCTGAGAATTTACACAGGTTTCAGATATCATATTCTGTGCAAAATCACTGAAAATTACTCTAAATGATTTTTTTATCTTGCTGTACACAGTCTGTTTTTAAAATAAAAATAATTTAGCCCTACTGTGTATTAAAAAAAAGCAAAAAGTGACTGGATTTCCCAAAGTGGAAAGGCAGGATTTTGGATAGAGACCAACCACCCTAAGAACCTAGATATAGATGCTATTGACTTCTTGAAGGGCTGATTCTGTCTGAATAAATGAATATTCTTTTCCCATGTGGTACCAACTGAGATTCTCAAATTTATTACAACTAAAACAGGAAAATCAATGTTGTTGTCCATTTTGTAAGTAAATATTTAGGTGGTAAAATACATATATGAAATCATACAGAAAAATTTAATAAACAGGGCATCACTAGTAAATGTAAGTTCATGAAGACTCAGGAAGATACACAGTCTGCCAATTTGTGCTTTCTAAATTTCTTATTGACTTCCTATCTCAGTGCTTTTGAAAAAAAAAAACATATCCCTAGGATTTTCCTAGAAGTAGAGTAGTTTTTTTTTTTTCCTGCAGCATCTTGATCTTCTTCCCAGTGTTTCTTTCATTTTGAAATATCACCAAGCAGTTGGAGAAGCCCATGATGTACTCACCACTTTGGTGTTCTGAGTACTCACCACTTTGGCGTTCTGGAAGACTTAGACTTATGGTCCCCATACCTCAGTTCCTGAATGATTGGTGACAGCCACCCACTAAGAGGGCTTGTCTTATAATATATAAAAGGCATTTTTTGTCTAAGAATGAAGATTCCAAACATGACATTACTAACCAGATTTAATTTTTTCTATTAAATTTGCATTATTTTAGTTTGTATGTTCATATTATGTGCATATGTTAGCATGTGTTATGGGTTACCCTAGATGTGAAGAATGTATATTTGCATGGTATCTGACCATCAAACCTATTATTTGACTTGAATAGCAGGCATATTTCACATATGCTTCAGATATGGTATGATTTTCAATAGAAAGATATTTTGATTTACTCCAAATTTTCCTTTACCATATATACAATGTACATTTATATGCTTTTATTCTAATAAACAAATTTTCAAGAATGCATTTCTGTATGGCATTTGGAAGTTGAATATTGAGAATAAAGACAGCCAGAGTATGGGTTTTATCATGAGATCCCTTCTAATCAATTGTGTTAGTTAACAAGAGCTGTAGTAATAATTTAAAAAAAATAGGATTTAAAACAATAGCAGCAGGTGGGAAAGAATGCTGCTATCACATTCCATGAGATGACCTCTATCCAGAGTTTTTAGGAAGATCTCTTCCCTTTGCCATTTTCTTTGTTATAGAGGCTGCAACTTCTGAGACTGAAGGGAAGAAAAGAGAAAATACAGATCAACATACCTGACTTTTTCTACCGTAACCTTCTTTTGACATTCTTAGTCAAGTTCACCCATAATGACTGTCATCAGAATCACTCACCAATAGAAACAGAGTGCTCAGCTCACCACAAATTTTGGCTTTCATGGGACTTATATACATTATGACTTATTACTGTTTGAGGGGTAATCACACAATTCATAATAGAAAGATACAACATCTGTGGACTGCATGATACCAATAGTGGGAGTGACATTTGAGCCAAACCAACTACCACTGAACCTCAAGGAGGCCTCAGTTTACAGACAGACTGGGTGCTTTTATATTAGGTGCATATATATTCAGGATTGATACTTCATCTTGATGAATTGTTTCTGTTATGAGTATAAGTGTCCTCCATATCTTCTGATTGATTTTAGTTTGGAATCAATTTTGTTAGATATTAGGATAGCCACACTCACTTGTTTCTTGGGTCCCCTTGCTTGGAAAACCTTCTTTCAACCCTTTACTATGAGGTAGTCTGTCTTTTGAGGCTGTGGTGTATTTCCTGTAAACAACAGAATGCTGAATACTGTTTTCCTTGGAGAATGGGGGAGAGAGAAAGGAGAAGGGAAGGGTTGGGAAAGCTTTGGGGAGAGAATGGTTGAGATGGAGGAAGGACAGATATGGAAGCAGGAAAGAAGATATCTTAATTAAGGGAGCCATTTTGGGGTTGGCAAGAGGCTTGGCTTTATAGGGGTTTCCAGGTGTCCACGGGGATGTCACCAGCTAGGACCCTGGGCAGTGAATGAGAAGGTGCCTGAATTGGGCTTGTCCACTAGTTAGACTGATGACTTTCTTGAATATCACCATAGAACCTTCGTCCAGTGACAGATGGAGATAGAGACAGAAACCCACATGCGAGCTCTGGACTGAGTTCACAAGGTCCAGTTGAAAAGCAGAAGAAGGAAGAATATGAACAAGTAAATCAGGACCACGAGGGGCTGGTCCACCCACTGAGACAGTGTGCCTGATCTAATGGGAGCTCACCAAAGCCAGCTGGACTGGAACTGAATGAGTATGGAATTGAACTGGACTCTTTGAATGTGGCTGATAGTGGGGTCAGACCGAGAAGCCAATGATAATAGCACTGAGATTTGTCTCTGCTTCAAGTACTGGCTTTTTTGGGATCCTATTCTATTTGGATGCATACATTCCTAAGCCTGGATGGAATGGAGAGGGCCTTGGACTTCCCACAGGGCAGGGTACCTGGCTCCTCTTAACTCTGGAGGTTGAGGGTAGAGGGGAAGTGAGGGAGCAGGAGAGAAGTGGGAGGAGGAGAGGAAGTGGAAATTTTGAATGGTATTATTTATAAAGTAATAAAAATAATCTGCTGGAAAAAATAAAGTAATACAACCAAAAGAATACTAATTCTATGACTGATCTGGCAAATGAATCTGATTGTTTCTCACAAATGTATTTACAAAAAGAAGGGAAAATGGAATGCCATATCTCA